AAATGAAGCCGCTTCGAGCAGAGAGAAAGGCTTCTTGCGCGAGTGAAAGCTGTCAAGGACGAGCGACGAGTAGCATCCTTTCAGCAAACCGTTTCAGGTCGCCAGTAGCTAGGCAGCACGCTTTTCAACGACCGTGGTTAAATGTCTCTTTAGAATCCATCCTGACTATCGAGATACAATTAGTGCACAACGGGTAAAAAGAAATCCAGAGAAAAGGGTCATTATGTGCCAGTCTATTCACGAATATACAAAATCCATTTGTAACAGCATTGGATAACAAATGGCTGTTTTCCAACATTTTAGGTTTCCACCGCGGTTTTGGAATTAACCTTTTTTTTACACGTTTTTTGCTAGTGCAGTTATGCAAATATGATTTATTGTGCCGTTAGATTTGTGATGAGACAAGGAGAGCAAACAGTTTTTAACTGGAGCGAAAGTAGAGCTGTGCAGTATGGCCAAAATTCACATTTAGCTATAAACACATTTATTCGTTGACGCCGAAAAAGGACCGCTGTCCCCCAGAACAGCTGTTCCCCGCTTGTTCTAGTGGGCGAGCTGTATCCAGCATGCGGTTCGGCTGTGTGATTTCATGAATGTACATTGGTGTAATTGTTTTATCTGTTACAAACCACTGTGGTGTGGTGCTTAACCCTGTTAAAGAGGGTTAGTTGTGGGTTATTAATAGTTGTTATGAAGTTATAACCATGACGACTCCATCTCAATACGTGAAAGACAAGTAGCTGCGCCCTCGGAGGTGAGCCGTGAACAATATCTTTTAGTACCTGCTGTGGAGCGACAACGGCTACGCACCAGTATGACTGGAATGTGAAAAATTCACACCATGAAGACATTCACACCCGGTGTACCGCCCAGCTTTCAGCGAAAGTTGTTTTTTTGAAAGGTTTAAACAAAAACAAAATTGGATTTTTGTGAGAATACAAGAATATTGTGTTAAGTAACATGTTATGTGTTTTGGAAATTGTTCCATCCCGTTTAAATTTTTTATTTTATTTTAACTTTTGGACTGACAATCTTAACGGAAATGTTTGGATCACACAAGTCGGAAACAATCGAGACGGAGGCTCCATGATTTTACATATTGTAAAGGCCTTTCAAAATCCAACAAAAAAAACAGCAAAGCTATATAATCACATTAAAAGCAATCAACAGATGAAGCACATAAAAAAAGTTCAGCTTTAATGGTGGGAACACTGCGAGAAACAATAACTGACTGTTTCCACCTTCATTGATAGAAAATGCTGTCCAATCTCAACTTAAAATTGATGTCAAATGCTGAAATACAACACCCCCGCCCCCCCCCAAAAAGACACCAATTCATCTTACCAGAAATGCCAATGAATTAAAATGTTATTGAGCAAAATGTTAATTGATCAAACAATAAACAGACGCAGCTTGACCACTAAATACAAGTAATCAAGGCCAACCTTTCAGTATCTCACATAACATTTTGATGACCTGCCAGTCTCAATAGTTAACACCGTATCGCTTTATATGAGCTCAAATTCAGACTTCAACAAAGTACCACACCGCATAAAAAGTTTACCCGTTCGATGAACACCGTGTCCCGGTTTTACAAACCAGCCGGGTCCGTTTGTTTGCGTGTTGCAGCACCTTCACAAGCCAAGTGACACAAAGTTTACCAAAGGTGGGCGCTGATGTTGCCTCTGCAGGGTGGCTGGCATGCAACAAACTAAAGTTAAATTAACGGTAGGGTAAACTACCACCTCTCTAGAAAGGGGTGCGCGCCGGTCCATGTCGGAGTGATGCAAACTGCAGCTTCGTTCAGCCGATTCATTCAAAAGTGAGCCAGGCATGGTAACTGCACTGCACTTTGTAATCCAAGCAAAGCATTGTCTTCCTCAACTTCGACGTTTACGCCGAAAGGCTCCCTTCATCGCAGGGTTTCGCAACCACACACAGCTTTTTTCAAACCATGTTTATCAAGTAAACTCGACGTAAAGTAAAATAAGCCACCGGCTAACGTTAGCAGGCTAAGCTAATTGGCTACCGTGACTAACCTAAAGTTAGCTCACTATCACGTTAGCGGGTGAGAGAATTCAAACAACAAACAGAGTCGTTTAAGAGACGTAAAATGACTCTGGAAGGGGGAACCTTTCGGCGGGTCTGCCGAGTTCAGCGAGCAGTGGCCCGCACCGGCGTCGGTGGGTAACGTTAGCCGCTAGTGACAAAGCAGCGGTGCGAGGCTTTGTTCTAGCGGACTGGCTAGCGCGTCAGCAGCAAAGATGGAAGTGATATCTCACCGGGTACCCGGGCCCGGGCATCGGGGAGCGGTACATGTGGTTCTGCGCGGCCGACGACGGTATCATCCTTCCCGTGGGAGTCCCGGGTCCCATGCCTGGTCCTGCGCCCGGTACCGGTGGCCCAGGTCCCATAGCTCCACCACCGCCGCCAGTAGGTGCTGACTGAAACCCCCCTCTGGCCGCCATCTCCTCTCTGAATGTCGCCGCCAGTGGAGGCACGGAGTTCTCGCGAGAGCGAGAATGAAGTTTGGGGTAGTGGGTGTGATCCCCCAGTGCCTCCCGCTGGTTGCCTGCGGTACTGTAGGGATATTTTCGTAATTAAAAGGGTGTAAAATCCCAGAATCATGATCCTGAAATAAAGTAAATTGCTGAAAATAAACCACAGTACATTTATAAAACAACTAATTACATAATCAACTGGTTCTCACATTCAACGACAGTAATGAATATTATTCCGCTCTATGCACTTTATCAAAACATGCTCAGGTATTGGATCACTTTTTTCCTTTGAAATGTGGACATTATGGTTTTTATTAATTATGCTCCCCGCCTACAATAAAACGATTTTGGGAAACAGATTTGTAAGCACCAACAGAAAGGTGTATAGGAAATGTGAATCAGAGGTGGGATATAATGTGTAACGTTTATCAGATGTGTGGTATAGTGTGGAATGTTTACCAGAAGTGGAATATACTGTATGTATATTTTACCAGTGCAATCCTAACAATCAATGTCCATAAGAAATAAAAATAGTATCGCTCTTTTATTCAATTTAGAAAGATAGAAGATACAAACACAAAACTAAAATGTGTGATAATAGAAAAGCTATTAACATTAACATTTCAAGCTTTTTGAATTAATTAATCAATAAATGCCTTGAAAGTCGAAGGTGCTCCCACTGAATATCAACCCTCTGTACGAGTTATCATAAAAATCACAGACATTATATTTTCTGTCAACACAGCAGTGCTTCATAAATAAGTAAATTGCACCCCCCCATGATTAATAGGTGATTTAAATCACAATCGCATGCACCAATTCCAAACTGGGTGGTTGGCAGTTGACCTCCTCAGAGTGCAAATATATTAATCATAATGTTTCATCTGGATAAAGAACAATGAACCGCTTGCCTCTAAATTAATAAGTACAACAAATGAAGAGCACAGCTGCGGACGTCCTGGAAGTGAGCCACAGGCTGAACATCTTTCTTGTTTCCAAACTTTGAAGTCCTTATACTCCCCCCCAACAGCATGTAGCCACAACAGCACAAATAATGCCATTCCATCGGTTTGCAGAGCATGCATGTGTTTGATCCGTGTGTGCTTGTGAACGTGCATACAAGGGAGGAGGGTATATATATTTCTTTTTTTGGAGGAAGATGTTGTGGAGTTGTCTTCCTTCATGTTACAAGAAAGTATCAGATTTTCTCCATTGTAAGAGAGAGATGGTTAGTTAGCCTGCTGATGCATTGGATATTAAACTATAAGAGTTCATACTTCAAACAAGTTAAAGGACAAATCAGACGGACTCGAGTCTGAGATATAATGCAGCTTTTCTCGATGCTGAGAACATTGAGTACGCTGCAATTATATCAATACCCTTAATGAGTAGAATTTTAAGTGGAGCCCGGAGGAGCCGAGCTGCAGCTTTATCTATGACAAACGGCTGAGCATCCTAATTGCACTGGGAGATCTGACAGGATAAATTTATACCAGAAACGTGACTCAACTGGCATGCTGGGAGGAGTGAGAGGACGGGGACAAGCTTCAATTGCAATTTCTGTACAGTAAAGATTCAGTTGTGTAAAACAGTCTAAAGGCCAAACCAATATTTTGGGTCAAGTGTAATACAATTAATACATTTCCCACTGTTGGATGTTCCCCAGTGTTGCAAAGAGTTTCAAATTAAACCTTGAATTTGCTTTGTCTAGTACCATGGAAACGTAACCATATTTATTATGTTTAAATACAGACTACACCCATTTTTAAAAATAACGCTTACACTGTGCCAAAACAACCCTACGGTTCTCAGTAAAGTTACATTGCTGCTTTGGCAAATTGGATAAAAAATGAACATATTTGTGGCAGGTGATTTTAATCGTGCGTTAATCCAGTTATTGGAAATGACACCACACTGTGCGCCACACTGAGAAACTGCAAAAGAAGAACGTCATCCCCTCGTTGATGTAGATAATGAGATGGGGATAAAACGGATTGGAAGGACAGTAACTCTCTGATTCAAAAAGATCTAGTGCGAGGGCGTGTTTAGCGAGAGCAGAAGGCACGATCAGAACTGGCAGATGTGGGCGAAAGACATGCACGCGCACGTGCACGAGCCTCATCAAAAAATAACAACAAACATTGGAGGCTGCCCGGCCTTCCTCTCCAACCCGGGAGTGTTTAGCTGAGGGTGTTGCAGCCATTTGAGAAGGTCGGGCAGTGTGGAAGAGATTCCAGCACAGATCCCTTCCCTCAGAATGTCGTCAGATTGGCCGACAAGGTGAAAGCGAGGAGGGAGCAATCCTCTCTCATAGAGCCGGGGGGGGACTGAATGAGCTCGCAGTGTGATTTAATCCCATTCAGGGAGAAGAGACGCGGTTGCCAAGATTCCTGGAACCTGCCGACATGACGTGAAACTGAGACGAAACCACAAAACTGCAAGATTTCCCAATACATAAGAGACGTTTTCCGTTCGGACAAACACACGAAGGCCAGGAGGAAATAAACAGCATCATCTTTTATTATTCTTGATTAATGTGTCTTCTCGGCAGTTACAACCCAAAAAAATAATAATGAAACCATCAGGGGGGCAATATGATGTTTCAGACATTCAATAACGGAGAGATCTTGATCAGACGTGGGAGTTGGTTTGCGTGCAGCTTTAAAGGGCTGTACGTTAATCCTCACTCCTCTGGATGATAAAAAATGAATGCACGCTGGCATTTGCTGAACCAAGTTGCTGTTTGGTTTTTCCCAACCAAACGAGGTCATGAAAAAAGCATTAGACTAATGTTAACTGCTTTCCTAGAATAACCCCCCCCCTCTTCCGTCCCCCCCCCCTGCTGTTTGGTAGCAGTAGACCGTTGTGCAGCCGGCTGAGCAACAAACATGATTTCATGGCAGGCCATGTTTAAGGGCGCATAACCAGGCTCTTAGACCCGCAGTCACGCATCACCGAGCTGCTTTTCTAATACAAGCGTGGCAGCACCCAGATGCACAGTCCAACACGAGAGCGGGCGTCCACAACGTGCGGCTGCTGGCCGATTGACGGTCTGGATGAAACTCGTTTTGGCTGTGCAGGATATTTCTCATCCGTTCTTTTTTTTTTTTTGTCAGACTGCAGCATAGAATTGTAATTACATCTCGAGAGTGTGGGGGTCCAAAAGACCAACGTTGTGGCTTGAACCTGCTGCCCAAAGGAAAGGTTGAAGCAGATAAGTGATATCTATTTTAATACCGGACTCCTGCCCCCAGAATCCGTAATGCTGATTTAATTCCATTTAAATGTTGGAAAAGTAGAAACACAAGATAACATGTTGATTAGAAAATGCGGAGAGCAAAATGCCAGAGATGGAGAGGAGAATGCTTAATCAGGCTTTCTGAGAGTTACGTTTGATTACAAAATTGCACAGTATTTGGGGTTTAAAAGTGCTTTGCTCTGCCTGTTTACCTCCTTGATCACACAACAAATGAAGGTTTTTGGAGGCAAATAACTGATAGGAATACAACCGCAGAAGAATAACAATTTCCAAAATGATATTCAGATTTTATTTATGCTTTGATAACTAAATAAACCAGCCTATCACCTGGACGATGGAGATAGGATCAATCTGGCAATATCGAGTGTGTTTTATATGAAAGAAAGAAAAAAACAACCGAAAAACAGTCCGATCAACACGATATTAATATGACAATATATCAAGAAGAATAGTACGTTGTCTTTTACATCACCTCTACATACTGGCGGTATTGTGCTTTGATAAGACTTTTTCAACTAGAACACAGATACAGAAACTCTTTTTTTAACAGCCCAACAAAACTAACAAACAAAACGATTTCAGAGATCGACTCTCTGCGAGAGCCAAAGATGTACCTCGCCTTTATCCTGCAGTCGAGAGAACAGTTTAAGGAGGTCGAATGAGAACTCCTCGGCTCGTTGGCCACACGTGAAAATAGAAAAAGCAAACGGATGAGAAAAAATGAAATTAGGTGCAGCTCATTCATTCATTGCACAGTGAGGCTGGCAGGCGAATACACACACACACACACACACACACACACACACACACACACACACACACACATACGTTTTTATATAAAAAAAAAATCAAAATTAAAGTTGAAATGAAAATCATGCACTGGACATATACAAGCATGCATTTACACGATGAGACCGGGAATCATCACCAGTACATTTTAAATGGTAGACGATGCCCTTCTACCACCGCCGCTGCCACCAAAAGCCCCTCAAAAACTTCCCTGCACCCCCCCGAACACAGATACATTCTCGTCCAAACGATTCCAGATGTTGATATATGGAGCACTGCAACAGTTACAGATGTTGCTACATGTATAGTGGAGTAAGCAGTGTGAATATTTGTACCACTAGCAGGCCGTTGTCGTGTGAAACCATCGCGTGTCGCTGTGTTATATAAAGGCATGGGGGCTCTTTTTTTCATCCGCTGTCTGTGGTAAGAGAGAGCTGTACATGTTCCGTATTTTTTTACATTTGTTTTTTTTTCGTCTTTTCAAGGAGAGCTCCGTGTTTGACGAGGGTCCTGCGCGAGCGTCCTTCTTGGCAGTATTCCAGAGAAAAACACAGAGATACAAGAGTTTACAGTGCTGCGGGAAATGCTCTCCGGAAAAATTAACAGATATTTTTATATTTGGGGAAATCCTCTGCACTTTGACAGTTCTTTGTCATATTTGAATTGTCCACTTTACTCCGTTTCCATGTAAAAAGTGCCTCCGTTCGACTTTGTATCAGTTCACACTCCCCGTGCTGGATAGTTCTTGTTATATGGTTGGCTTTGGTTGCATAACACGCACTTTGATGTCTCTCCCAGGGTCCGCTCAGCAAGTGAAGTCCTCAAAGTTGGCCTGACCCGGGTGATGAGGTAGCATGTTGCCGGGATACGTTGATGGTGTACGCAGGTTCTCGCAAGGAGCCTGAGGCAACAAAGGAAAATGGCAAGGGAGGTAAAGTAGAGGGAAGGATAAAGATAAGAGGGAAAATATCATTGAGAGGATGGGGAGGCAAACAAGCAGAGGGATCATCGCACAGAAAAAATGCATTGGAGAAATCCGTAATAATAATGATATATGACAATGATGAACAAGCTGGGCCCGAGAGATAATAGAAACCCCTAGAAAAAAAAGAGAAGGTTAAAATGCTAAAGATGGATGGATTGACTACCGCGTAAAGCAGGAGAAGCGATCAGAGGGGTAGCACAACTTTATCCTCCTTTCTCGAGGCTCAGACTTGCAATTAAAGTGAACTGGCGACATTTACACTTGGAAATAAGTGAGCTGTCACACCTCCAAGAGCTCTAATTCCCGCCTGTCCCTGCTGGTCCTTTCCACCAGCTTTGATTTAATTCAAGCCACCTTCCGCTCTCCTATTTCTCTCTCTCTCTCTCAATTACTTCTCCCTCTCAACCCAATCCTCTATCCACTCCCTCTTTCCTGTCTCTCCAGTCCTTCCCTCCCTAGTCCCCCCCCCCCCCCCCCGTCTCCATCTCTTCGTTAACTTCAAAGACGAGAGCGAAGGGCCCTAAGGGATAGATGCGGTCAGACAGGGGAAGAGTTCAGCAGCAGCCTACTGACATGGCGTTTCACGTCGTCCAGGCTCAGCACGGCTCCCCGGTCATTGTTGTTCCGGCCTTTGTGTTTCTTCTTCATGCATCGGCACAGCTTGTACTTGATCACCTGCAAACAGACGAGGGCAGCCGTTACCGACCCTTTGTGATCAAAACACAATATTTAGAAAGGTGCTTTTCTTTTGGTTCATGTCATTGTTGTTGAACGCACACACTTTGAAGAGTTTGAAGGATCAGGCTAAGTGAGATGAAATAGAGATTGATTTTATGCATCGGTAAATGTGTTTTCTCCTTGAAGATGCACATGAGTAGGCGAGGCAAACAGACACACAAAGCATCCACATTGCCGGTGGAGGGGAATGCATGGAAGAAGCAACACATAGTTACTCTCACGAGAGCAGAGAAATACATCCTGTGTGTGAAAAACACCCAATATGTGAGCCCAATAATGCTGGAGCGGTTCACATTTCCACACGAAATACATCAAAAACGAATGTGAGAGAGAGGCTCCGGGTGGTGATATTTTACCTCGTATAGATAGTCAAAGAGTTCAAGAATGGTGAGGAGGCTGGCTCCGATGAAGAGACCCATCTGACCACCGATATCACCTGGAAAGACCGATACGAAAGCACAAAAGGAACCTTTACACAACACAGGGAGAAACGTCCGTGCATTCACATGAAGCAGCTTTGAAATGTACTTTCATTTCTTTGAAGGTCTGAAAGATGGGACATTTGACAGAAAAACGTAGATGTTGGGAAAATGAAGTAGTTGAAAAGCCCTGAAGGACTGTCTTCTGGGACCTGAACACGTATAAAAATGAAAATGCAAGCGCTTGCATTACTGTCGCTTAAGATAAAGGGCAACTGTCATGTTGCCATACTGCATATTATCTATTCTCATGAAAACACTTGACAGCTATTTCCTCACCCAGAAGACCTGCCAGTTCATAGGCTTTCTTTTGTTCGATGGTTTCGTAGTTCAGTGCTTCAAAGAAGATATCCAGAACCAAAATGTTATCACTGTAAACAGAGAGAAAAGCACACAGTTTCAAGTCCCATACTTATCACAAATGTCTCCGTTAATAATCCATCCTCCTGTTTATGTGAGTGCTCAGGCGGAGAACACGACAAGTGAGTGGTGGGTGTAATAACTGACTTTTTCTGTTCTTTAATTAAACTTTACACTTAAAAACCACCGGTACAAGAAAACCCAGGAAGAAAACGTATATACATAAATAGAAGCGATTTGTTCAGTTGCCTTTAAGGCCTTTCAGGATTTGTTCAGTTTTAATACAGTGTTTTTAATACACATGCACATATGTCGACTAAATACAATTATTCGCATTTTGGTTTGTGGTTTATTGTAACGTAAGCGTGTTTCTTTGTAGCATGTTGCTTTGTTCCGGCACATCCTACATAGAGCAGAAGCTGACAACATTCTACAAACACTCTTTATTGTCTTTAGTAAATAAACTGTTTCTATTTGTTGCTTTACTTCGGGCGCTGCTTCCTGAAGGCAGATCCTTGTTATCGTTGTGTCCAAAGTGTGATGACAGCCTCTTTTGAGCCTGAAATTCTTCCCCGCTGCTGTTACACTCCACACAGTCCAATATGATTTATCTTTGCAGCGCACTAAACTTCCTTTAACATCCTCTGTACCAGCTTCTAGTGCTGATATCGTTTCAGTCTCTGCCTTTATTCGTATGAAGCTACTGGTCTTTCTGCTTGGAGGAGATCCTCGGGTCATTATACATGCACATATATCTTCCCTCTGTTTTTCAACCTTCACTTTGCAAGTGAACTCTTTCAAAGCTGCTCATGGTTCTCCGGATCTCCTCCCTCCTTCTCATCCCCTGCAAGAACGTTGTCGCTGCTTTAAGACGGCGAGCTTCTGCATTCTTCACATTCCTCCGTGACGAGGAACTGTGTGCGTTTCAGTGGATTTGTGACAGCGACGTTCATTGTGAAGTCTTTCGGATTTTCTTTTGCCTCATTAGCAGAGATTCGTGGTGAGATTTTGGCCACTCTGTCTCTCTCTCTCTGTCTCTCTCTCTCTGGGCCCTTGATCCCTGTCTGGCAGTGGGTGGTTCTACGAGCTTCATCTGCAGGCTTTTCCTTTGAGCTGACGTATCTAAATTGTGATGCATCAGCAGCAATCAGTCACAAAAGGGATCCTACGTGCCACATGCGTTTTTCGAAGCCGTTGATGTGTACGTCATATATGCCATACGCCATGCTATCGGTCTGACAATGGATGCGTCAAATGAATGCAGCGTGTCAACGTTATCAGATTTAAGCCGTGAGCTCCATTCTGAGAATTGTCATTGGTTTTAATGGTGCCGTTTTAAAGAAAATTACGCTTGAATGGTTTTCTTTCTTAATTCAACATTCTTTGCTGTTGATTTCCAGACGTAAATACAAAAACAGTCGAGAAGCCGGTTGGTGTCCGAGAAGTGGAGCAGCTGTGCGTCCTATTTAACCAACGCTCGTCGGCTTTTTTGAACCGATAATTGTGGAAAAGACGGGAGATTATGACGCGTTTTTTGTTAAAGTCTAAAACTCTGGAATTCAGTAGAGTGGAAAAAGAATGAGGATTAGTTTAAGGCCCAGGGCAAAGACTATTACTTTGATTCCCGAATATCCTCTCTGTGGGCCAAATCAGACTTCACACGCCACTGGGGGGTGAGATCAAAACCGTAAGTCGACTTTGTAGTTTCTCTTTTCATTCTGGTTGCACTGCTTTTATTACTGAAATTACATCAAGAGATGATCTGTTTTAAAGGAAACGCCTGTGAAGCCGGGAGGGGTAAGTTAAAATGCAAATGACATTTGATAATGTAGAGAAGGAGGTACCAAGAAGTAAGCAGGCATCTGCTCGTTTCGTGCTAAGTGGGAAAAACACTTTCAGGCTCTGCAGTTTGACAGCACAGAAAACATCCTTATTTAATACCATGGAAAACAGTCATCAAATACTTATCTTTTTTAGCGTCCACAGGCTCATGCGAGCGTGTGCAACACCAGGACGCCGGACACGAGTCACCGAAATGGAAATACAGCCTTCATAAATGCTAATTATGTCTGTGAATTTCCAGCATTGGCAAGTCAAAGCTGTTGCTCCATTAATGTTAACAATTTCCACTGTTTTCCATTACTTTCATTTCAAAGGCTTAATTATCGGTACTCATTAATAAGTCTCATCACACGTAAGCACTTTGATTGACATCTGACTGTAGTTAAAGTCTGAGATCACAAGGTTTTATCAAAGCTTTCAATAGACGATTTATTATTAAACGCTGACAATTTTTCAAAATTCTTTCAAAATCACTCGAAGCTATTTAACTGGTTGTTAATTGCAGTGGGATTTATGGATATTTATTAGCAGAAATGTGTTCATTACTGTATATTCACCCCAAATTAAAAATGGTGGTGTTTTTGTGACATTATAATACGCCATTTATATCAACCCTTCACTGTATATTGATCACACTTAGCTATTTATTTCAATGTGACTACCTATTGGAGCTTCTCCACAATCCCTCCACGTTATCGCTGCCATCTGCCATCTCCCCTAAAGTAAATAGCGCTTCGCTGATCGAGGTGTTTATCCATTTATCATTATTTCATTCCCGGGGTGATTTCTCCTGAATTGTAGGTTCACTTGTTTGAGGTGTCAGCCTGCACCTTGAACTATGCCTCCTCGCTGTCAAGTGTTGTAATTGCTTTGTGAGTAACTTCTAATGCATCAGATCAAAGCAGCGGTTAACAGCCCGTGAAGCTGTCCGTGTCTCGCTGTGTTAGTGGTTCCCGGTAAAAGGTCCAGAATCCTCCCAGCTGACGCTCATCTGAACGACACCGCTTGGAAATATGGCCACTCGAAGAAAAAAAAAAAACGAGCAGCGTAGACACATCTGTCTGCGGGGAATTAAATAGATCTTTCAGTGGGGAGAAGTTAAGGGTTTTTGCAGCACTCTCACTACATATGGTGTAATTATCTTGTCCACAGTGGCTCCGCCGGGGAATGCCAGATAAAAGGTTAAACTATTATTTCACCCTCTCATTTACTTGAACTACCGTTGATCTGCTCATTAGACTTGAAACAGTACATTCTTGGCTGATTAATCAAATCGGTCTCTGACCGAGAGCTCCTAAAACACATCTACATTTTATAAGGTAAAGTAGCAGTTGGTATTAAGCCTTTGAGTGAGTAAACTTTGAGGCACTAAATTCAGTCGGATAGATAAGTGACACATGACGTAACCCTGTTTCAAGATATTTACAGTGCAGCTTTAATCGTGTTTATTTCCTGTCAAGGTTTGATCGACTATTAAAACACCCCACTAATGAACATCAGGTTTTACTTCTAGTTTCTCACAATCAACACACGCTGCATTTGAGACTCATCTGCACTGAACGGTAGCATCTTTGCATTACATGAACGAGACAAACCCTTTGGTCCGGTTTGGCTGATATTTCTCTAATTCAAATGAATGAGCAAAAGCCGGAAGAAACCAATTATTCCTTTTCTCCCCATGAGTTGTTGAATCGTGCCTGAAATCATAAACAACAGCAAAAGACAATAAAAACTAAACGTCTGCCTGTGGGACACTGAGATCCCATTAATCAGCGAAATGGATTTCTATAAATCTCAACATGAATGCACACATTCCTTCCAATGAAGCGCCTCGTTACTCCCAAACTTAACGTAACTAAGTTCATCATAAATATTCTAATACATGTAGAAAAATCTATTTTGGACGACAGATTTTTGGCAACACTCGAACAGGTTTGTGATGAGCTCAATATTATTCTACAGAAAGTTGAGAAATAATAATTGAATTCCTGAATCGTCGCCCACCACTAGAAAGGTAATAACCCCCCCCCCCCCCCTCTCCAATAAAGTGCTTAACACCAAAAGAGTCTTGATCAAACACGTAATGACGTGAAAACCCCAAAACACCCACGTACCCTGAGAAGGGACCTCAAGTCTTAAACCATCGTCACAGCTTTTGGAATGGTTGTAATGGTTAAAACTGGACAAAGGAATCAGCGCTCATCAAGGGGACGAATGGGACACAAGAGCAGGACTCACGCTATGTACTGCTCTGTCTTGTTGAATTTCTTTGCGAGGTACTTGGCCGACGCTTTGCTGGGTATCTTGACGAAGGACATCTCCTTGCCGAAGCGCGTCATGTTGCACGGCGTCTCGCAGACGCAGTAGTCATTGTCCCTCTCGACAAGGAAGTCTGCAGGGCGGGCGGGCGGAGGGAGAGGAGACACAGATGGATTTAACCCTCGGCGCGGCATGACAAACGCCCGCAGAGTGAGAAGGCGACGAGGAGACGCCCACCGAGGCCCCCCCGTGAGAAAAATAGAAGATGATACATACAGACAAACTGACACGGGGGGCAGCGAGAGATTGGGAGTCAAAAAGGAAACGGACAGCTGACCTAAACGGTCAAATCAGTTGATGGAGAGACAGGGGAGTGTGAGCAGGACAACCAGCCCCGGGCCTCAAGGATTACCACTTGAGAATGGCTTCTGTCAGGCTGCAGGAACACTATTATCTGCTATCAGCACGGATCAGGGGCTCTGAACAGTGTACGCGATGCACGCGCACACACACACACACACACACACACACACACACACACTTACCCAAGGCAGGATCGGCACACTCCTTGTACTGCTCCGGGGTGCAGTATGGGGCGTCTCCTAAGGACAGGCGGGAGACACACAATGTTCTCAATGTGAACAAAAAGAGGGTGAAAGAGAAGAAGACGCAAAAAGGACGACGACGTCTGACAAGAGAATTACTTTTTTTTCGCAGACTGACGTTACCGCCCCTTATTAGGTTTGGGTATTCGTCACAAATGCGATCTCGTGTCGTAATGGAATTCATTAACTTTCGTACTTTCGCCTCCACTTTCAGTCTGTTTCACCCTCGTTCATCCCCAGTGGCAGTTAAACGGGCCTCTCCCTCCGCACAGGAAAAAGACACGTCCCAGATGAAGGAGGAAATATTATATATATAATTATTCATTGCACGCTCTTTGGAAATCAATCAAAGGACTGGCATATAGCAAAGATGAATATGAGGGCGATATTTCAGCTGGAGAGTTCTCCACAGCCTCGTTAGTCAGTTGCACAATCACTAGAAGATAGCAGCTAATCCTGATTATTACACGGGTAGATGTTCTCCCTGAAAGTGACCCTGATTGAAGAGGGACGTTAACGACCGTTTTCAGATTCCGAGTGTTTCCTCTGTGAACCAGCTCCTTTTCATTCGCCGTCTGAGATGCCTGACAGGGAATAAATGTAGGAGGTAGACAGCGAACGCCAGCTGTAATCACTGCACAGACACTGAGTGAAAATAGGGGAGCGTTCCGATTCACCGAAGTAGAAAAACATCTGCAGCCTGTTTGTGCAATTGACAATTGTCTTTGTCACGATTTGAAATGACGAGACACTGTAACATCTTTATTAATACATTCATCGAGATGGCCCTACCAGGCATGTGGACCATCCTGCAGTTGCAGTTCTCCACCAGGTAGCGCGTCTCGCAGTCGATGCGGCAGGCCGTGATGCTGTAAGTGCTGAAGAAGTCCGAGTCCATCGGCGTGGCCTTGCAGTCGCCCCACGGCGGCGGCAGGTACGTCAGCTGAGAAACAGCAGAGAAACGGCGGTGCAGAACCGATTTAGTTATACAGCATATTTTTTAATTTCCTGTTAATGCGGCAGTTTGACCTAGTGCACTCTGGTAATATAGCAGAGGCCATGAGGCATTTATTGTATTTGCCACGGAATATTCATGTCGTTATTTTGCCATGGCGAATACGTGTGTACAGTGGTGCTTATTGAGGGAGCTTTTCTCCTACGCCTCTGCTATTTCCAGTCCCTCTCTCTGCGCTTTCATTGAACTGCCCACTCTCCCTGCAGGACCTGAATAGTAGCGGCTGTGTGGTGGAGCTGTGATGTTGAAGTTTACAGTCTGTACAGCTTTGCTGCAGGACGTGTGCCGCCATTTTCCTTCTGTTTAGATCCACGAGTGGATGTTTCACTCATAGACATCTCGGCCTTGGTCAAAGAAAGGGAGACTGTTGGAGCATATCCTCAACTTTGTTTAACACGATGGGCCTCACCCGAGAAGCTGTTAACAACAGATTCCTTCATGAGTAGCAAGTAGTATTTTACAGGTACCTATAGGTACACACACATTTTGAGAGGTTGAGACTTGTCGTAGGGACACATGTACAATTAGTTGCTGTTGAGAATACTGCTGTTATATAATCAGTATTCTCATCATATCCAAACAATACCCTTGTTAATCTAAATATGCAACATGAGCATGAATATAGCCGCATACAACTATTTGCTTTGGACCGATATAGATGACTAACGTCTATACCCAAGCATGCGAATGAGGTTGCTCTCCCTCTGTGTCTGTGTTGTTTTCCAAGTTGCTCCTCGCTTTGTTGACACAGCAATGCCATCCATGTGTGCTAATAGTACATGTGAGCTTGCCTGCAAGGCCCCCACAATGCACTGGGGGGGGGGGGGGGGGGGGGGGGGGGGGGGTTTTTAAATATTTTGGCACCAGGCTCCGGGCCCCCCCCAGGTAAAAAGACTGAAATATTGTGGCGCCGCGCTCCAGGAAACCTTTGGTAAACTGGTGTCTATTCTCCAATGTGTCTGAGGCGAAATCATAAGTTTTTTATATCAATTATTCTTCTCCATTAAAAATTTCCTTTGGCCCAATTTCCATATTGAGATTGCTTGCTTTGTTAAATCATACCTGAACCCCAAAAGGGATCCTTTAACTGCAAAAGAAGGCAACCAAGTAAATATTCACAATTCAGCAAATTTAGCATAACACGCAGTAATACAAAGTAAAGCATAGTGGCTCATCTAAGCAGCATATAAATAGACAATCAAACCAATTAATACAGAAGTAACAGATGAGAAAAAGCAGGAGACAAATAATACTGACTGAAGAATTAATACAGAAATAAATATATGTAACGTAGGATGCACGTAAAAGTATAAACTTCTCCCAAAACAGTCGTGTTTACACTTGAGGCTAAAAAAACACATAACGCCGAAATGTGATGCATTAAATGCTATGAAACAGTTGCTGCATGTTTCCATCTCAGCAGTTCATCCCGCGGTGCACACGCAGCAATAAATTAAAGGCCGCTTGTTGTGATTTAGGGATCTGCTTTTTATCATTTTTCGCGGAGGTGCAAGAGGCGGCCACGGTTACTAGTAACTCCAGGCAATGTTCAAAACGCTCGTACAGGGTCCACACACATTAACATACTGTAAAGCACCCTCAAGTCAAGCCAGATAGCTTTCTACAAAATCTAATCAGCTGATTAGAACGGTCTCTCTGCCCATTTTCACATCAAGGACGTTTCACAAAGTCGAACAGAACGTTAAAACCGTCGGAGCTTGGTAAAATGCTCTAATCAATAATACGGCCATGTGTATTTATTCACCTCATCACTTGAACTTGACAATGTGACTGGGTAATGGCGCTCTAATGCCCAGCGTACTGCTATTTCTACTTCTGTGCATTTTCGAAAAGCTGCACTCAGCCATCCTCAACGACCTTGGGGCATCATTACTTCCTGTCGGTTAAATCCGCGCGAAAACCTGATGCTGCAAGTGCGCTGGTTTGCAAGATTTTAGGACATCTTGGTGTGCTGCTTAACAACTATAGAGAGGAAAATAAATCACGCGACCTCAATTGCACCTGTTGTTAAGGGTGAGAGGAGGAAAAAAGATGGAGAAGAAACATTATGTTCTTTTTGCCTTTTGTGTTAAGTAGGGAGAAAGTGATCACGGATCATGTTTAGTGAGAATTTGGCAGGCTGAGAAGATCCCAACAGTCTTACGCTACTTGACTGTTGAAGAAGGCTGTTGAATACACTTGATCAAACTGCATTAGATAAATATGGACAACGTCTGCCAGCTGAGGAAATAAATATCGAAGCGAAGAGACAGGGAGAGGGGGACTCATATCAAAGAGAGAGGAATTGTATTAGATGAATTGTAATGACTGTTTGAAAATGTAAAAAGTGGGGGAGCTTCGGAGAAAAAGAGATAAACAAAGAGGCACAGTTTCCTGCAGACGCGACATTGGCAGCATGCAAAATCCTGCTGCAGCGCGCCGACACTGGAACACACTCACTGGTAGTGTGGACGTGGAAGGACTGAGATCACTCCCAAATCCATCCTGTTCTATCCTCCGTTCATTATGCAGGGATTCAGTAGCATATTTTGGCAGTATGTTTGCAGAATTTCTCCCAGTTCCGAGGAATAACCGGCATATATTTTGTTTAAATGGGCAAAACAGAAATACGAAATCTGACCGAAGAAAGTTTGAGTTTCTGCAATAATGTTGAGGGCTCAAGTTGGTAACGATTGGGATTGGTGAATATTTTGTAGGCTCAGTGCTCAATTTCCAGCTCACAAAACAGCCCTTTTAACCGACAATGTCTTTGTTATTGACTTTTTTGCCTTATATGTGAAACCAAGCATTGATTCCCAGCTGAAATTATATGATTTTAACCTTGTTTTTGTGAATGCAGAACAGCATCTGTACTTCAAAACACAGCGTAGAGCTGATGCCAATGATGCTTCTCATACTCGGCTGGTATCCATCATGGAGGCACATGCACCCATGTGACCTGACAATTGGGAACATCCATAATAAGGAAACGCTTTGTTAAGTGGTGGAAGAAGTATTTCCCAAAGGCTCTTGAAACAAAATTCAGAGCATAAAACAGGAACAAACAGCAACAGACAGCCGCTTATGCTTATTTCATATTTAAATCTGAGCTTCTTTGCTTTGTTGGCATAGCCGGGATGTCTGTGTGTGCTTTTTATGGCGCGTTTATGCATGTGAGCGCCACCAGTCATGGACGATGCTCTGCAATGCTGCAAGAAAAGGTCCTTTGTGACTGATTATTATATGCTAACATTAGATTGATAATGCTGATGCAACGATGTGCAAGTAGCATTTAACTAGTGGAGCTGAGGCAGAGATAGTTTTGGTAGATTGTAATCGTCAACTATTCATTTAAGCAAAATGCAGGTATTCCATTTTCCTCGGTGACCTTCCTTTATATGATCAGTTTGATTATCAGGTTATTGTTTAGAAGCATTTGTAATGGAGGAAGAAATATTGAACTATATAGTCTGTGTTTGGATCAGGAGGTTAACATCTTTGTAGAGCGCAGAGAGGGATTACGAATCTCAAACGTTTCACCACGAGTCACCTGTTCAGATTACAGCGAGTCATTTGATTTGAAATTCATATCAAAATACCCCTTAGTGGAGCTTCAGATACATTCCGAATGCGTCCCATTTGCCTCGACACTGTTGAACCCACGGCGGGCTTCTGATGAGCTCGCTAACCGGAGCGCCTGCTCTCACTGTTTTAATTTTAAATGAACGAGATACAGACTGCGAGCGTTCGGGAAAAGCGCTCAGTCTGCTGGGAGTGAGGAGGGCAGACAAGGACGGAGCCATCAGGAGAGCCTCAGAGGCAGCAGATCCTCCAGATGGTTGAGGATAAAGGGGAGCGAGCCGCGGAGCGTGAGTGCTCGTGGGATCCTGCCCAGGGCTCGACAAACCCTGGCAGGGTCACCTGGGCCGAAAAAAGCCCCAAAACACCCAAAATGATTCCAACGATACATTACACTATGACTTGATGTTTGCTCAACACTGGCACGGGGTTTGCGCGACACATTTGGAATCTAAACCAACATCAGAGCAAGGCAGGCCACAGCAGCGTACGTTCAGGCGGTTCATTCCCTTTCTAAAAAGTGCAGTGACTTCATTTGGATTATTTCTAATGGTGAGCAGAGGGCTCCTCTGGTTGTGATGGAAATGGGATTGTATAGAACTCCAGGCGAAGATTACCCTACTACTCAATTGATCAGTAAACATTCAATAACTGCTTTCTCAAATGCAGCATCATTTTCATTTTGCATAGATAACGATCCAATTTACAGAAAAATAGACAATAAAGTAGGGGATTCTGTAGGGCGGGGCTACCTCATGATTGACAGGTTGACAGTTTTATTGAAAGTATTCTTTGAATTTGAACCCTTTCAGTGTGTGTTCAGTTTAATCAAATTAATGATGCCTTTTATAGCCTTTCTCAAAATGTCTTATTCAGCGTTTGGTTGTAATTAGTTACACACGCTCATGTCACTTCTAATTACAAAATCCTAAGATCACGAAGACCAAAAACTAAATTAACGCTGGCCAAAACGTTTAAATAATATAGTTGACAAACCACTTGTTGATGTCGGGATAATAAGATTAACTTCTTATAGACAGTCTATTGTTTAGAAAATGATATCCAACCCGACGACAGACTTTATTTACAGAAAACACATATTGTTTTCAACTCGGCAAGAGCGATGACACACAAGTTTAGTTGTTTGATCACTCAGAAAACATCCATGGCCTTTTATGCCGATATTTACCTGCACTGGACCACAAACTCTCTGGTAGTAAAATGGTCAGTCGCCCGATTCAAAAATAATAAACTTGAATTTCTGAAGACGACATTATGTTGAGGTGCAAAAACAAATATCTGACACAAACACCGAAAACTCGAGCCACGCATCCTGCCGCTCTCCTCTCGCTCCCACCAGAGGGGCGCAGGCACATGCACGTGCTTCATACACATTTTTACAAACCACATGCTGTTAACAAGCGGCAGCTTTTATGATAATGAGCCTCCTGTTTTCTTTGCATACTTATCGCCTGTAAAGGCCGACACCTGTTATTTGATGCCCTGGCATCTTCTCCCCATTTCCCGAAACGCTGTTCTCATGTTGTCAGATTATCTATTTGATAAGTTTGTCTCCTTTATGCAGATATCTTTGCAGTGTAGACGGTTGTTGCCAATGCTTGAACTTAACGATGATTAAGTCTAAATTACTGCATTCTTGCCGAAAGGTTATTATGCTACTTTTGTCTAATGACAATAAAAAAATATACTGCCTCCTCCAGCTTTTAAAAAGGCCAATACTGACATACATGTTCTCCCAGACTAAATGGGATTTATTCTTGAACTTTCCAAACTGCATTTCTGTCATCTTTCTCAAGACGTACCCGCTGCTCCTGACAGGACACAAAGGTCTGAAACCCCGGCGCCACTCCGAAGCCCAGCTGGTCGATGAACGGCGGCTCGTCCTGGGTGTGGATCTGCACTTTGATCCCCGCTTCAAACGATGTCTCGTCTGTTGGCATGAAGAGGTTAGGATAGTTTACAACAGGGATTCGTATGCAAACGTTGGCCCGCTTGATCTACCCGGCAGCAGTTTGTTACTAAACCAATGAAGACAAATCCCCGCAGCGAAGAGAGTATTATTCAGTGAGTGAGTGAAAAACATGCCGGAAAACAAATGTAGAAAGATTCAAATTAACACAAAGAATTATAAAACATCATCGACTTGTAGGAGGAAATGAGCGTTCCTGGAGTGGAATATTCATGTATGTTCTTCAAGGGATCTTCACATTGTGGTCATACAGGAGTTAAAAAGTGGAAGGATGATGACAACATAAACCCCACAGGAATGTCATTTACCGCAGCGGTAAACATGAAAGTGAATTGATAAATTAATAAATAAATGATGATGAGGATAAAAGGAAAATCAATACAGCTGACAGCTTCCTTTGCTACAGCACTCCGCTGTATGTGTTTAAGATAAAGCAGACGGGCCTCTTTGATAATGAGATTGGGAAAACGTCACAATACAATGACATTGGGACTCAAGCCTACACACTTTTTTCTGAGGCCTGGATCGGATGCTGGATTCAAGATATCGAGTTCCTCTCAGTGTTGGCACGGGGATGAAGTGGGTTGTCTGTTTCCTGCCGTCTTCCCTCCTCTAAGAGCCCGGCTTTCGCGTGGTTTTCAATTAAAGAGCTCAGGGACGCGTGTGAAATGCAGCGCGACGGCGACGACAAAGAGCCACAGACTCCGACTGGTACACACTGGTCTTCGGAGGCCCCGTACAAAGCCGATACCACGGCTAATGCCGAGGGGCTTAGAGCACCATACACAGGCGGGCAGAGCCCGAGCTCCCGGTTGAAAAGAGGGTTGTCATCTTTAAGTCATGGCCACCTGTCAACTCTATACAATTGGATTACCGATATTTAGGCTGAACCTCGGGAGAAAATAGAAATGAAGCTGAGCACGCGTGCCACGCTGCCGAGAAATGTGCCATTTCAGCTGTGCAGCAATAGACAGCAATTATGTCTATTGTTCAATACCGTTGCTATGGTTTTCACGGGGGAAATCTTGTCAAACTACATCCTACATGGATGTCTGTTTTTAGTCCTCATGCCGAGGCCTCTTGGTACCAGATGACCAGGACAGGGTGAGAGTGTGGTGTCGGTGAGGCTTCTGCGTGTTCTTCCTGTGTATCCTCCCGTAGCTCACGTGAAGTAAAAGCTCTACATTGCGAGTTAGTGTTCACATGTGTTGGAAACTATCACAGACTCCCATGAGTAACCTGCTTCTGACATAATGCATGCTGGCATATGCAAGGAGCCCCTTGCCACCCTGCAGGGGGAAAGTGGGTATAAAATATGGATGGAATTGCTCACAGTTTTGCGCTTCAACCATGCGTCACATAATCTGATTTATTAATTTTCCTTCTTGTTTTGTTGGATTGTTAGAACATTTCCCCCCACTTCTGGGGGCAAATTGAACACACTCAAACAAAACAATGATGGATGGATCGTAAACCTCCTCAACAGTTTTTTTTAATTCGTATTTATAAACCATAGTTATCACTTCTGTCAAAATGGAAATTCTGCTTTCTAAATTCACTGGTCTCACTTAGAAACCGTGGCGCCCGTCGGTGGTTCCAGGGGATCCGTTAATGATATTCAATTTGGATTATTCGGACATTATCGAGGCCACAAATTGGTGGGCGCTCTGTAGCACAATGAAATACAGAAAAAAAAATCTTAGTTTTTTCATGGCTTAGGGCTGAATAATGATAATCTGATCCGTTCTTTGTTTATCTAGTGCAGGCAGTTAGAAAGTTGGCGACCACCTGGAGGCACACGTATTTAATGATAACGCTGTTTAATCAGCAACTTGATATTCCACACCTGACGAGGGAGAAGGGGTAAGAGGCTGAAATAATACCCTTTACAGAATCACTTGACCTATACATACATCTACATACAATATTTTTAATAATGCAGCAGGTGCTACATCATTCATTTCACAAACATTTGCTGCAGCTTCTTGGAGCGTTGAGGGGCGATTCCGATATTTTTGAACCCGAGCCCTATTTCACCATGTTTTTGTGTCAAACATACTAATGCAGTTCACAAACTGAAGAAATTTAATTTCGATATTTGATATTCAATTTAGTTTTTGCCACTTCTCAATTCAGATTGCTATTATTTCGTTAGTAAAAGTAAAAGGGTATTTAAAGTGCCTGAAATCTATGGAGAAAGAAATCTCGCGCAGGGTTTTCTGATGGTCTAAAGAGAGCTTAGTGTTCAGCATATCGATGTTGTGGCTAATTGTTTGAATAATTTGGGCTGTGACTGTGACACTATGAGGCCCATTGACTATAGCCTGTAGCCGCCTGGTATTCAGATTTCAGAACAAGGATTCTCTTTGAGCGGGACTCGGACATACACATGCACAACGGATCGGGTGAGGGAGAAAGAAGAACATCTCATTGTGTGACGTTGTAAGACAATTATAATGACAGTCTGAGTCGGTGGCAAAAATAAAAAGAGAGTCGTGAGCAAGCGCTAATTGATGCCAGTGGTTGGAGCTCCTTGTCTCAGTAATTAATGAATTTCAAAAATTGTGATTTAGGCACAGAAACAATGGAGAATAGGGTCCAGGTTAAAAAATACAGAATTTAGCTCTTTGGCAGTCTGGTTCTGTCATTATAAACCATTGTGGCTCTCCGCATGCTGCCTATTTGTGGCCGTATACAAGTTACTCTATATTAAGGCTACAATGTGTTGCCCATATTTGGCCTTCTGGAGGTATTTCTGTATGTAAATTAGATTTTCAGAAACTGCACCCTTAAATGTTTATAACACCCACTCTTGTAAAAGACTTGAATCATTAAATAACATTACGTAAACATTCATATATTTGAAATCCTTAAGGCGTGGATGCAGCTTTATATTCATGTATTAGCTTTCTGCTTCATGTTTTACGATGACCATGTGTGTTTCTCTGCTCATAATGATAATAATCTCTTTTCATTCACTGCCTAGAGTAGGTCAAATATTGATGCAAACACGCCGTCGCATATGCAGCCGCATTAAAACAAAGGTTTCAGGGCCTCCTGGAGCGTCAGCGAGGAGACTTAACTGTGTAGATAAGCGCTCAACGCTGATCGATTTTTTTTTTTTTTAGCCCGCAAATGCTTCTGCTCTTGGTTGATTCATGTGAACTCGAAGCCAAACGTACAATTCAATTAGAATGACAGAACCTTTTTTTATGATCAATATCCATCTATCGTTTTACAGACTAGTCGATAACATCCCGTGGACACGGTGCATTTGGAATGACATCATAATTCACCAAAGTGTGGGGAACATTTCAGAGCAGATGTCATTTATCTGGTGCATAACTTACCATAAATCTGCTGCAGATAAAACGTAACTCGGCCTCAAGTGTCCATGTTCGCTATGCTAAATGGATTCAAGGTTTTACAGTCACATTAATAGTGCAACGCCCTGAGCTTTCTTATAGCACCAACAGTGAAAATAACAGGTTTCTTTGGTGCTTAATTGGATAAAAAAAACAGATACATCTCTTTTAAAACTTAGCGTCCCCACTTAAGGGAAAACAGAAACTGCAATCATGGGGTTTAGGCTGAGGTCTCAAGGTCAGCTTACCAGTCTCCCCCCATACAGGCAAGTACTCGTCCTGCTGGATATCCAACATCAGTTCCAGGCCGTTGCCCATCCCGCCCTTCATCGTTACCATGAGGGGTCGTCCGTCTTGGCCTGAATTAAAGGTGTAGCACTTCCCATATCGTGTGAATATCTGAAATACGGAAAGAAACAGCAGTTTTAGTGATACCTGGTCACGACGGGACGACGAGAGAGAGCGAGAGAGAGAGAGAGAGAGCGAGAGAGAGAGAGAGAGAGAGAGAGAGAGAGAGAGAGAGGCCGCATCGAGGCTTGACATTTCATCTCAGCTTGCAGCTGTGAGTGTTAAACTTGTTGTTTCAGGAGCACCGTTGCAGTCAACGGGTGTCACCAGGATGTCAGGCGCAGACCTCAGAGGTCTCCGATGCTGTCGACAAGTGAAGACTCAATGAATAAAAAACAGCTCACTAAATAGCCACGGTGGTTTGTATAGATGTCTTGTTTTGCCCAGCGGGTAAAAATAAACTGCATTCTAAGCATCTTGAAAAAAGGGAGAACAGATCAAGCAAGCGAAACGTGCTTCAGTGCAACTTTTATCTGCTCAATACAACACAAATCCGCAGACACAGCGCGGAGTTTAATGAACGTGGTGCAGCCTCGTCGACTCCTGAGTGTACCTGCCTTCATGCTACATGCCTGGAGTGTTTTCTGTCTTATTAGTAGTGGGTCAGGAAGACGCCGAATGGTAGAATATGGAGAGCAGCTCCGGAGCACGGCAGAAGAAAAAAAATGATTTATTGGCAAAGACGTAACTGCCAGCGATCTAATGGATGTGTAATCGAATCATAGACATTAGGAACTGGAAAGCCGTGGCCAGGGTCCAAGATGAAAACGCTGCTGTACTTTGTTGTCAAGCCAGACGAGTGTGAGCCCCTCGTCAAAGCTTCCTCGCTCACAATTAACTTATTATTAACCTTCAACGTATTGACATTCGTATGAGGAAATGCTAAAAGGAAGTGGAGGAGGATAAATGACAACGGGAGCGGAAAAGCAATAACTGAAATAAGCCTCCTTTTTTAATATTGTACGAGAAATACGATACAACAGATGTGTGGAGAAGTGACTTAATAAATCAAGTGAGTTTATTTTCTCATATCCATACGATCAAACTCGTCTTCGCAACCGGTGTCTGGCTCTGCTGAAGGCCAGTAGAGGTGATTTTTACCACCATCACTGGAGAGTTGGGCGATGTTGCGAGACAGCGGTGCGAATGACTTCATCACAACAAAGATAACGACAAAATGCTTTTGTTTTTGCTGTCTATTTAGCTAACTGTCTAAAACGTTGCTTTATTTCTGGTGAATGCGTTGTGAGGCACTCGGAAAACACTCAACGAGGCGTTTATGAGATATGAGTCAGACAAGACATGACAAATTATTTAAATGTCACAAACACCAGACGCACGGAGGAGAAAAAAAAAATCAAAACTCATGACTCAAAAAGGGAAAATTTTATGTGAAGCCTGTTTGATAACGTACCGGGAATCACGATGGATCGCCTCCCAGGTGGGAAGGGGCGGTTAAATGGGAGCTTTTGACTCACAAAGTGGTTGAAATGTGATCAACATTCTTTCTAATAGTTGCTCACAATCTAAGATGCGACCTTTCGGTGTGAAACCGTGTCTGCAGCCTGTACCGTGTGCAGTCCCGGAGTCGCCTCTCACCATAACTAGATCGCGGTTCATCAATACCCTTTCGGAATGAAAGGCAGCGAGATATTACCATATCAAAGCACCACCTGCACAAAATATCGGATGATGAGCATGTGCAAAACCTGGAGACATAACCATCTCTGACACTTGTATTTGCACTGATTTTACCCTTATGAGAGCCTGGCAGCTTTTACTTACCCCCCCCCTCCCTCCCACACAAAAAAAAAAGATCTAAAACAAATTGGTGAGCCAATCTCTTCCCACAGTTTCACCTGTTTGCCGCTGACGAGGACTGATTGTTCAGGAGAACATCCGCGTGAGCGCTCAGCGAGATGACTTGCTCACACCGAAAAGCATTTGTCATAATTGCGTCAAAGGAACAGTGTTGTGTGTGTGCGTGCGTGGGGGCGTGTGCGTGTTTCTCAGCACGACGCACAATTTTGTAGTTATATGAATGAGTGAGCTCCCACTGGGAGAGAGTTGTACAGCGTTTGCGTGCATATGTGCGGCCACCCCTCGCTGGCCATCTGGGCGTCTACGCGTTTATAACGTGTTTGATTGACTGCAGGAGGCCTGTCGCCAGAGTTGCCGTGGAAACCAAGCGATGGTGCCTGGCTGCGATGAGTGAGGAGCAGCAGCGGGAGTGGGTGCCGCTTGTGACCTTGGGGAGTCGGGATCTTTCATTGTGTTCTGCGGCTTCGACCGCGCTTCCGCAGGGTTTGTGCGGCGTTGCATTTAAACACATTTATATTCTCACAGTTCAGCGGGAGCTTTTCTGTAAAAAAAAAAAGAAAAAGAAATCGACCTTTTACTTGAGGCACAAGCACGATCATCGCACACAAAGAGAAGAAAAAGGTCGAAATGAATGAAATTTAAAAAGTAAGTGGAGCAATCGCAGGAGTATTGAGGGACTATAAACAGCGATGGTAAACTCTCAAAACGTGTCCTCAAACACTTTCACCATTAAGGATGAGCAAATATATGTGGCGGCTCGGAGGTCTGTCTGGTATCCACGATGAGCCCTCTATTCATTGCATTTACGCTAAAAACTTCTGAACTTGTAATTGCATGAGTGAAATATTTCAACTGACCCCACCCAGGAGGAACAACGGAAAGAGAGAGAGAGAGAGAGAAAAATCCCCCTCGCTCCTTCTCACGGGGCGTAGAAATGTCACCGCCTCTATCTATATTAAATAATTCAGGCACACAACCCCAAACTGCCGAGATGGCCCTCGGCTATCCTTCGCACGACAATATGACAAGGACGCACAAGCTGTTCGCTGAAGTTGCCAGGGAACCGCTTTCCCTCCGCTGACTTCGGCATCAGCGCTGAGCGCAGCGCTGTGTTATGACAGGGACAGAAACAAACACGTACGGAGGGATTGTCAGGCTCGTGCTTGGCACTGAATATACTCACCTAAAAATACGATTTGCCGATGCCAAATATACAATTACTTTACGACAACAAATGACGAGATAATGAAGTGTGGCAATTTTACTTTCTGTCATTATACAATTTAATCCTGTGGAATGAGTTTTCACATTTAATGCTCCGATACATCCAATACAAATAACAAAAGAAAACACACCTCAGTAAATACTCGCTCCCCAAATCTCTCAAAAACAAATCGAAGTCTTGCTGTTGAGCTACTAAATGACATTGAACATTGGGAGATTACATTTTAGGTTATTTTGTCCAAATGCCTCTTTCTAGTTGTCACATAACAGATTGCAACTGCCCTGCACCAAACAATATATACTAGTTAGTGACTGGTAAACATAGTGGAGCATTTAGCCGCTTAAGGGTTAAATATTCACCTCAAAGAAAAAGGAGCAAAATTATGGAGCTCATATTTAACAGGTGGACCGATTTTTCCAAATGCGTCAATGTTGTGTTGCCACCAGGAGGACAAACCATCAATATAAAGTAAATCGAAGCGACATTGCAAATTCAAGTCCAGCTAAAACTACCAATCAGTCAAGTTTTAGAAAGCGGACACCTCATCCCTTCACATCTGATTGTCCAGACGTTGTAAATACCGTTTCAGCTGGACTTCGTCGTGAGTTTTAAAGAGGAAAGCTGTCGATCAATAGAGCGCAGGGGGGGGCGAAGCTTGATTGCATGTTCTCGGATTTTGTAAATGAAATCAATGTCCGAGACCCGCGAGCGAGAAGAGGCCCGTTTTGTGAGTTGTTAAAACACGGATACAGAAATGATGGAGCCGCTAGGGATAGATCGATCGACGGCAGCGGACGATATTTATGGAGTTTCAAGATCAACTCCGCACCATGGGTGGTCCCAGCACAAAAAAAGTCGATACATCCTGGGACGTATTGCATGTGGACGGGCCAGTCCTCCCTCATCTGCACCTCACTTCTCCAGCGCGACCGACTCTACTGGTCTGACTCACGGCGAAGGGCTCCTGTTGCCTGCTGCGAGGCCAGAAAACTCCACCATCGATTATCTATGCACAAGCACAAATCCCCAAAACTCAAACCTAAGCATTAAGGTCATCTCTGAAATACGGTGCTGCTGCTTGTTGATCCTTTAAAATACTCTGCACATGAAGTGTCCCTAAAGAGGTTGGAAGGAAGGCATGTGTTTGACTGCGATAGCTCGTTTTGAGGTTCCAGATGAGTTGCAAGTTGGGGGAAAAAAGGCATCCGTTCAATCCATTATTTTGGGGATGTGGTTTGACGACACAAATAAACTGAGGGTCAGGCCAGAAAATTGTAAATTTTCCTCAAAACATAAAACAATCCTGCAGCAAACGGCGACGGATTGCCAAACATCAAACTGTGTTTCATGAACACCTAGAGAAAAACTACTTTGGGTAATGAGGTGGGAGAGAGAGAGAGAGAGAGAGAGAGAGAGGGAGAGAGAGAGGACCACTTGACACGGAATGATGGAGTGCAACAAATGAGGCTGCAGTTTACCGATGAGGCCAGAGTTAAATGTTGTTGTAAAGTCTTGCTAACTGAACCAAAAGTCTTTGTTATGCGCAGATTGGCCTCTTGTGAGCGAAGGCCTGTAAACACATTGATCCAGCACTGATGGACGAGAGGAGGGGGACCCGTTCGGACCACAGCAATCATCTCCACTGATTGGACTTTTGTTAATGTTTGGTGTGTCAAAACCTTAAACGATTGAAACACAAAGACAGGGGGGAGGCGAGAAAGAGGCAGTGAATAGAACTGATGCGCATGAAAAAACATACCATCCCATGATCTCCTTAAAATGCAAAATACCGCATCAACATTTCCACTCTCGCGGATTCAATACAATCTAGTGAAACTAAAAAGGAAACAGGCTGTTGAAATCCAATTATGTAAATCAATCTGTAGACTCAACATAGAGTGCAACACTGGATAGTTGCAATTTTAAAAAATAAGCCTACGGGGAGAGCTGCTTTCGCATCACCAAGCAACGGTGCACGGGGACGCGCATTGTGCGCAGCCAGCTG